GTAATTGTAAAATTATTATAATAAGTTAAAGAAAAATGGCGACCCCCTACTGCAGGTCCCGCGACCCACAGTTTGAGAAACACTGGTCTATGGAATACAGTGTTGTAATGGTTGTTTAATTATATTGCCTAAAATTTAGTATATTACTTATACGAATTTTTGTTCGACGCTGGAAAAACATTTCCTAAATTAAAGTTCTTTTACTTCATTGAAAATTCGTAACGATGTATCCATCATATTTATATTTTTAGTTAATTTTGTGAAAAAACGAACGCAAGACCTAGCTTTGAGAGTCATGCGTTTCGTGGAGGATCCGTTACATAAGAAAGTAATTAAGAAAAGCTCAGTACGACTGGTCCGTTCCCGAATCAGCTTTGAACGAAATTACTGCCTTTGCGAGATTTCTGTACTTTTGACATAAATGTAAAATATGAGCCATATGCCGGCTTATATTGGAGTTTAATTAAAAACTTGTGAAAATTAAATTCTGTAGTCCAAACATCTCGAAAAGTATAGGTGCACTTGAAAATTCTCGAAATAGTTGTAATAAGTTTGCAATGTATCAACTTGTTTTAAGAAATTAATGAAAAAAGATAGGTATGTAATATTGGAATTTTCAGTTGTTATTAAAGGGACTACTTAAAATAAAATTGTTTTCAAATTGTTTAGTTTTAAAAATTAAATTTTTAAATTTAGTTCGACTATCGGCCATTATTGGCCATATATGTCACACTTATTTTATGGATGCTTTAAGTGTTGAATTTCATAGCAGACTTTAATACTGATGGATAGAATAAGGTTTTACAGACATTTTGTGAAGAAAAATACTCGTTGATAGAAATAGTTAGAAAACTAAAAAGCCTAAATTTCTTTGCTTTTTAAATGAATGCGGAAAAAGCACACGAGGACGATCTATGTAAGATGGGACGTGTCTATATAAGCTTCAGTGGAAAGAGAAAACTGGCTCATATTCACGTCCCACATCTTTAAGAAGGTATAGGCAGTTCTGTTTTTTCAATATTAATATAATGCTGATGTTACTGTGCAAACCTGTAAAATCGGTTTCAGTGTGACTATAATGAAAAGATAGTTATTTTCTGAGGCTAGTGAAGCAGTCTTAGAGCTGAAAATGCCTCAGGTATTCCTGATTTATAAGTGATTTAATTTAATTAGTCCCCTTCTAGGCGAAATGAAAAATATTATAAATGAAGCATGTTTTCTCGTGTCTAAGTTTTAACTATTTTCTTTTGCAGAAATATCTAGAATCACTTCTAAAATGATGGTGTTGTAGTTCTAGTCTGTAGTTAATTTTTAAAACTAAACAATTTGAAAACAATTTTATTTTAAGTAGTCCCTTTAATAACAACTGAAAATTCCAATATTACATACCTATCTTTTTTCATTAATTTATTAAAACAAGTTGATACATTGCAAACTTATTACAACTATTTCGAGAATTTTCCTTCGTAGAAGACCTTCCAATGGCTAGGCTTAGGTATTTATATGTTGAAAAACATATAAATACCCAGGGGATATCTGCTTGAGTGGGAAAGATGCCTTTGAGGAAAACTGGTTCGTATTCACATTGTGCGAAAAATCTCAAAAACCAACCATGCAGCTTTGCTCGTTCGCCTAGGCTCGAACCCGGGTCGAACACCCAGTATTTAGCAGCTTGAACAACTCAGCTACTGGTGGAGCTTCAAAGGAAAAGTGACTCGTATTCATTTATACGTAAAGAAAACCCCGTGTAATCAGCCTTTTCGCCAGAAAACGAACCCGAGATGAACTACCCGCGTTCGTGCAGCCTTATTCATTCAGCCAATGGAAGCGTCGCAATTAAAATTTGACCAATCAGCACCATCCAATGAGTTTTAGCAAATACGCTTTATTCGCAGCTTTAAATGTAAAGGTTAACAGAATTCCACGTTCTTGGCATCATTGGATGATGGAATTAAAAGGCATGGAAATGACGCTTGATTGGAGAGGAGAAAAGCATTTCCTTGTTCCATTTTATATGATTTATCATCCCTTGGCTTTAAAAGTCGTGCGAAATCATTTTCACTCAAATAATCTGTGTTTAAAACATTAATTATTCTTTTCACAAATTAATTTATTTTCATCTTGCTTTGAATTTGAAATAGGGCCCTAATTCACTCTAACTTAGTATATTATTCAAAATTGGTGTGCAGATTTTTATAAACGCGTAAATAAATAGTAAGTTTAGTCAAAGAATAAAATAATTTACGATTCAAACCCAAAATTAGGTAAGCGATAGGAAAGTCGTGTACGCAGGGTTTGGTTTATTGAGATTATGGCAAAGCACGCAAAGGCCATCAGCATAAGGGAAGACATGCCTTCGTGGAGGACTTCGAAGGGAAACTGGCTCGTGTACACATTGCACATGGGGAAAATCACGAAAACGGCCGTGCAGTCAGCCCGTTCGCGGGATTCGAAGCTCCAGTGGCACTTCAATGTAATTGAATTTAGTAAATTGCTAAAGTGCCCTCCATCTATACTCCATCCATTCGCGAACGTATTTTTTTTAAAATTTTATTTATTATGCACTTGCTCCTTTTTCTCTATTGCGGTGACCATCGATGAAATTTGGCATTCAGAGCTTCTGGGCTAGTTGGTGGTGTCCGATAAATAAGCAAACGTTGGATAATGTTATCATAAAATTTTAAGATTATCAGAAAAGGCGGTAGGTGGCTTCGCCTCTAGGTTTTTCTGTCATTACGTAAATAGGTTTTTGGTAATAAATTTTTTATAGGGTCATCTAAAAATTAATTTATCAGACACCGATAACAGCCCGTATGGTCTATTTGCTAAATCTCCTGCAACTTTACCCCATAGCGGACTATGGCATAATTCAAGAAGTGCGACATTGTATCGTAGGGCAAGCATTGTTTCCCCTAACATTTAGTAGCTGCTTTAATTCAGTTAAATTGAATTTTATACGTATAAATAATGTAATATTTTTCACGAGAGAGAGTTGTACGCTGTTTTCATTTCGTCATCTTTTTTTGCAAAATAAAATTAATTAAAATCGCAGATTAATGGTTTTTAGGGTGGAATTTTTTTAATACGTTCTTCAAAGTCCGTATAAATTAATTTAGGAGTTTGTGTTGTTTCCTTTTTTCTATATTTCAAGTTGAAGTCCATGCGGGGGGGGGATGTAAAGAAATGCATTTATCAAAATGATTTTTTTTTTCTCTCCTTTGCTAATGCAACAATGTTTGTAGACCAAACATTTCAAAGGAGGGCCAAAAGACGAAAAATTTTATAAAAATGCCCGAAATCTTTCTTTTTTGTAGTCGTATTATTTTCATTACATGTGAAACACTTTTGTCGAAATAAAAAAAGACACAAAATGTGGTAATTTTAACGTTTAAACAAACAGTCGATAGGGGGGATATTCATCGGAATTTAAAATAACAGCGTTCTTAAAAATTTTTTTTTGGCGCCCCTACTTCATTTTCCTTATTTTAGAGAAGGAATCGGAGAGAGGAAATACAGAATTTGGGCGGTGTTTCATGAAAACGCCCAATTATGCCCTCGCATATGGTTTTCACTTCAGGAAACAAGTTGCAGTGCCTTCATTAAGCTTTTATTTATTTTATCAGACCCGTTTTATACATCGGTAATTACCATATCTACATTTTTTTTTTCAAGTATATATATCTTCACGTTGTTAATCTTACATTGGAACAAATACGACATGTTTAAAATCTTATTGTTATTCCCATGCTGGAATAAATGAGACGTATTTCATTATTTTAAGAATGACGTATTTATTAAGCAATCTAAATGCAAAGATCCGTGCAGTAGTACTGTATCTTTCATTTTCATATCTCTTAATGAATGGCATATGTTTTATTCTTATATGTATGTAATAGGTATTAGATTTTTCTATTATTTTTTTAGTGATTTTCAGCCTTTTATGTTCAACGTTTCACGGAACAACGCGCAAAAATTGTCAGCACATTCAAGTGTTTTAGGAGCCGACGGTATTTTAAAGAAATGAATGCTGAAAATAGTGTGAAAATTTTTGTCCGTCGTTTAAATTTTTTTTTAACTGCTGACAATAAGTTTTTAAAATTTGTATTTATATTATTTAAACATCCCATGTGAATTACTTAGGTGACTTTCGTTTAAAGTTTTTTTTAAAAAAACGAAAATTCGATGACGTGTTCCAACGACCTCGAAAAAAGAGTACCCATTTTCTTCTCTCCTTCTGTAACAGCCTCCACCCTTTTTATTGCATGAAATAAAAGCACAAATTCTGAATAAAAATTCTGCATCGTATTATAATTTTTTTAAAGTCATTATGAGTAGAAATATGAGCGGAACATCTGCTCACATAATTAGTCTTAAGTTTGAAGGCGTGTGCAGTTGACTAACATTCACAGGTGAATACAGTTTGAAAGTGGTAATTTGCGTCGTTGGCGAAGCTTGCAGGAAACTAATTTTTAAGCTATGAAATCCCGAGTTCAGGTGGTCGGTCCACCAGCGGCCGAGCGGTAAAGTCGCTGAACACTGGTAGTTCGGTCCGGGGTTCGAATTTTGGTGAACGGGCTGGCTGCTTGTCATTGTTGTGGTTTTCCCTATGTGTGACGTGTATACGAGCCAGTTTCTCTTTGAAGGTCCTCCACAAAGTCATCTTTCCTCTAGGAGCCACTAACCATTTCTCTCTATAGCTCTCTAGTACTTTGCCATAATTAAATAAATCAAATGTGAGTTCAAGTCTAGTCGAAGCTGAGTTCTGTAATCTGACCAGTGGGTGAGCGGATATAGCCGCTGGACATTACTAATTCCACCCTGTTTCAAATCCCGTCGAATGGGCAAGCTGCACACGCGATTTCGTTGTGTTCTCCATGTGTGACGTGAATACTTGCCAGTTTCAAGTAGAAAACCCATCGTCCTCAGATAGACCTTTGAGTGCTTTGCCGTAGCTAATTTGTTTTTATCATAAAAGTCAAACGAAAATTATTATTTCTTACTTGTTGGACTTCAGTGAAAAACGTGCATTGCTGCCAAGAATTATTCGTATAGTTCAACACATTTTCTTTTCTCACTTCTTTCGCCTCTTTATGACACTCCTACACTGCAAACCATCTGTCATCGTACCCTGGTTGAAAAAGACTGTTCTAAGGAGCAGATAATTCCTAGAATGGGATAAAGAGGGCGCTTGATTCCCACACTTACGTCGTCTGAAATGCAAGAGTCATGTTAGTCATGGTTGTTTTACAGCTGGATTATTAGTAGATTTCCTTCGCTCTGATTTTACATCGATCAAAACTGCTAAACTCACTGTGTTTAAATAGCACCAACGGCAGTGTAAAGTTAGTTGAGGAATTTTCATACAGTTCGCTGCTGAGAACATTGCAGTATTCATTTTGTGTTCGTTTGCTATCAAGCAGCACTAAAATGATAGAGTAGAAGTAGTGTGACAAATGTATATGCTAAACTTATTATTTCATTGAAACATGCACATAAGGCAAATTGTAAAGTAAACAAAACTAATGTGATAGTAATCGACTTTTCTGCCTTTTTAAAGAATGTTTTCGTTAAAAACCTGACGCTTCCTTTATTTATTTAAAATGAAATATCTTTTGATTGCGTAGACGAAACATAATGTTTATATGTATTTGATAACTAACTGGATACGGTTATTCTACGTTTTAACTTTTTGGTCAGCTTTCAGCCCACCAGCGGCCGAGCGGTAAAGCCGCTGAACACTGGTAGTTCGGTCCGAGGTTCGAATCCCGCAAACGGGCTGGCTGCATGGGCGTTTTCGTGGTTTTCCCCATGTGTAACGTGTATATCAGCCAGTTTCCCTTAGAAAGTCCTCCACGAAGGCATCCCTCCCCTTAGGCAGATAGCCCTCGAGGCTTTGTCGTAATTAAATAACCTAACCTAACCCTTGGTCAGCTTTCCTTTTGTTTAATTACATTATAGAATGTTGGATTAGTTCAGAAAGCTCTTATTAGCTCTTATCAGTAAAAATAGAAAAATATGCATTAAAGATCAGTTTTATTTTATTAAATCGACCGTTTGTGTCCAACATGGCTGTAATTAGTTTCATGATCGGTCTTGGATTTTTGTTATAATTGACGTTTGTGTAATTTACATCATAATTTTCGTATCATAAAATATATAAAAATGTGAATAGTGCTTGTCTAGTATACAGTAGATGTCATGCACCCCTAATGTGTAAAACTGTATTGCTTTATCTTCTCGATATCGAAGTGGTTGCCATGTAAGAGATAAATAAATGAGATTCTCCTGTACTCCTTTACTCTGAAAAATTCTTTTGTGTGCTTCGTCATGTCATCTCTCTTATCTTAAGAAAGATAAGCGCATTGTCATGAAATAAAGAGATTTTCTTGGAAAAGTTGTTTCTGTTTTCATGATCCCCCATAGTCAAATTTTGTACAAAATTTGGGCTTTTCTGGTTAAGTTAATAGTTTCGCGATATATTCTTGTTCCAAAATAGGTAAATATTAAATGTGATTGCAGCGTATAAATGTGAGCCACATTCGTAAATAACAAAGTCATTTTCCTATTTAAGGACACATTGACTGTTACATTCGTATTTACATGATGATGGTGTCTGACTTCTACACCTTATTTATTTATCTCCTAAAGCAGTTTTGTAGATCAAAATGGGTCGATTTCACAACAAGTAAAGTTTATTTTACAGACTGTTGGGTTTTAATTTCTTTTCTCCTGTTACGTATGAAACAATTATTTGTAATGATTGTATCTTAGATTGCTTAAAAGTAAAATTTTATTTGTTATAAAAGCAAATACTTTTTAACTAAAAATGGCTAAAAGATAAATACGAGAGTATACGAATAAAAAGTAAGATATGAAAATGTCGTTGTAAAGTTTCTTTTCAGTCCAATTGAAGTATTAATATTTAGAAAAGTAAACTTTCGTAATGTGATTAGTTTATGGCGAAAGTCTGCATTCATATACGAATACAGACTTGTTACTCAGTAGCTTTGCAAGATACGTAACTTCAACTCAGTTGTTTTTGGAGGGGTAATTGAATTTGATTGCATTAATTTTATTGTTCGCTTTTATGCATTATTAATAGAGATATGGAGGAAGTCCTGAATTTTTCTGAATCGTAAAAGGCTGTCGAATATTTTGAATTCTTCGTACAAAAATATTTTTTTTTTATTTTTTTATTTTTTATTTTTATTTAATTTGAAAAGCAGTTTTTAGAAATACTTCACACGCTGATTAATAGAAACAATAAATTATATTTAATAAATGAAGAACGTATTTAAAACTCACAATCTTGAGGTTACTTTTCTTAAAATAATTCGACTAACGGTTGATCTTTTTTATATTTTTAAATCCCTGCATGTGTAGAGGTGAAAAGGATTATTTCAAGACTTAATATAAAACACTAAATGTGGAAAGCTGTTCTTAAAAAGTTAGAATGTGCCACTTAGAGCCGCCACGAGGATGCTAGCGATCCTGATCCACTAAATTTGCAAACATCGACTTTTTTTTTTTTTTAATCAATGCTTTTCCTAATTGTGCACAAACTAACTGATAGTTTTTGAGATCAGTATTCGAATGGAAGGGGGCAAGTGAAAAATCGAATCGTGAATCTCTTAGATTCGAATGTCCCACCCCTATTCATTAAGTATAATGTGAGAACACTATATAGCAGGGTTGGCCAAACTTCATGTCAGTAAGAGCCGCACGTTTAAATTCAGGAATGTTCGAGAGCCGCATCTACATTTTCTAAAAGCCACAAGTTCATATTTACGTCATTGTAGAAGTAGTGGAGGTGGTTTTAAATAGAAAGAAATCTCCGATAACTTTGTAAAAAGAGTCTAAACTAATTAATTACTTCCTTTTGGACACCGAATAGTTTCAGTTTACCATATTTCATACATATATTTTATATGCATGAGCCGCACAAATTGCCTGCGAGAGCGTATCAGGCTCGCGAGCCGCGCTTTGGCCACCCCTGTTATATAGTATAAAATTATTTCATTTAGGATTAAATCTTTTTGAAGATTTCTTTTTATCCTGAGTTTGTTAAAATTTGCATTGTATAAACTCCACTCCGACGGCCTAATGAGTAAAATAATTGTGTCATTCCCTTTCGTGCATTATTCAGTATAATTCAAGAACATTGCGTAAAATAAAATAGTTTCAGTCAGTATCAGTTTTCGATCGTTGACTAAGCAATACAATGCTTAGTTTACCATATTTCATACATATATTTTATATGCATGAGCCGCACAAATTGCCTGCGAGAGCCGTATCAGGCTCGCGAGCCGCACTTTGGCCATCCCTGTTATATAGTATAAAATTATTTCATTTAGCATTAAATCATTTTTAAGAAATTTTTTTTTTTTTTTTTTTTTTTTTTTTATATCCTGAGTTTGTTAAAATTTGCGTTGTATAAATTCCATTCATCAGTAAAATAATTGTGTCATTCCCTTTCGTGTATTATTCAGTATAATTCAAGAACATTGCGTAAATATTTTCAGTCTGTATCAGTTTCCGATCATTGACTAATCAATACAATGCTTAGTCAACGATAATCACTAAGCAATACAATGCAACGTAAATTTTAATAAACTCAGGATAAAAAAAAAAATTCTTACAAAAGATTTAATACTAAATGAAATAATTTTATACTATATAATGTTCTCACATTATACTTAATGAATAGGGGTGGGAAAATCGAACTTTTAAATTCATTTTTCTGCATGGATATTCTGTCAGTTGTATTTCAAGTTCCTTCTGTACCATCTAAAGGCTTAAATAACCAAGTAATTGTTTTTAATAGGCTTGTAATTTGGAAGTTATATATGGTTTATGCCGCATGGCTGTGACCTTGAAATGTAGCTTCTCAATTGAGGCAATGCGATTTGCCTTGTTTTAAACCTCTCCCTATCTTCCCGAGGTAGTCACTGGACATAGTTTAAATTACATTCAATTAGACTGAAATGAATAGATGGTTGGGGGAAAAAAGTACTTATAGTGAAATGTGATTAGATTTTTTTTATTGTCTTTAATTTGAATTAAAGCTAAGAGTTCCATCGTCTAAAGGGTAAGGGGATTATTCGAAGAACTTTCTCTTAACACCTTCTTATATTTATTTACACGAGCGAGTATCCACATACGCAACTCCTTCGAAGATGTTATTCTGTGTGATATGAACCAGCCAGTGTTTAACGATTTTATTCGCTTCGTCACTCGTGGTCTGATCAGTTAACCATGTACTTGGCGCCAAAGATTTGGCGACATAATCTGAATATCGGTAGTTAACAAAGTTTTGTGGGAGATCCCTGGAAATACCCTCGCAATAAAAAATTTGGTTTTGTTTGCGTGAAATTATTCATTAATGTTGTTGTGAGGAAACTGTATTTGTACAGCCATTTTTAAATATTTCTTTTGGTTATGTTTCTGTAATTTTGCTTTAGCATTTGAGGTTCTATATATACTACATAATTTAGATTAAAATCTTTTCAATGTTCGTTTTATTTTTTATCTAAAAAAACTTATGTCCTTTTAGTATTTCATGCTTGAAATGTTTGTCATTTTGCTGCATAGTGAACTTTTATTTGCCAGTGCTATGTGTAGTACTTTAAACTTAATCTTGGAGAAGCAGTTATCCCATTGAATGGAGTTCAGCTCTATTCAATGGGAACTCATTGAATAGAGCTGAACTTGAATGGAGTTCAGTGTTTAGACCTTGTGTTCATGTTTGAGTACAGTTCTTTCTTTAACTAAGAACTACAAACTGTACACTAATATAGCTCTTTTAATCAGAGAGTAAGATAAATGGATTGGGGGGGGGGAGTTGCAAACCATGATTACTTGGCAGTGCAGGTTGCTTAAAGGCAGTTACCCTTTTACCTGTGCTTACCTAATTTGATTAATAGGTGCCCATTAGATGAGATGTTACTTATTTGAAACTTTTGATGTACCATTACTTAAAAACGTAGACAACCCTTACAGGTTAATATTTCACTGGAATTTTTAATAATTTCTCATATATCTATAATGCAGATTAATTTTTTTAATATTAAAATTTCTAAATAACAAGGATTTTTTTTATGTAGATCATAATTCACATGAAACAG